TAACTCTCGCTTTGGTTTTTAAACACTAAGACTAAATTGGGGATTTTAGTCTGTCACCCTAAAGATTCTCCAATTCTACATCTAATAAAGAATATTTTCTTATTTATTTATTCTTAATTTCATGAATGAATTTCTCCTTCATGAAATCAAATGTGATCCTCATTCTGTTGTAGAACGCATAATCCATTTCTTGGATCATATGTTTCACAAAATATTTTACCAAATCAATTGACCAAATTGAAAAGTAAATTAAGTTCAGATTTGAAAAATCATCATAATTTATTTTATATTTTAATTATGACACATTCATATTAGCTCTTCATTTCTCAGGATCTTAGAGTAGGGGGAAGGGTAGAGGAAACTACTCACATTTAATGAGAAAGATACGACAAAACACAAATTTCATATATAAAAGAAAGTTTATACAACACTAAATAAACAAACAAACTTATCTGGAACTCTTTCTCAAAGCAAGACCTTTGTAGCATTTCCTTAGAAATGCAAGAAGAAGAACTCTCTCACTTTTTTCCTTGTCGAACACTCTTACTTGGTGGAATGAAGATGGATTATGGAAATGATAGATGGTGGAATGTTGTAGAGCCAAAAATGAACGTAGAGGAGCCCCTTTTCTGATGAAATTCAGCCCCAAATAAAGCCCAAGGTCGGCTCTCCAAGAGGTGCCTCCAAAAACTCTTCAGTGCCCAAGAGGTGCCTCCAAAAACTCTTCAAAAATTATCCAAATACATCAAACCTTTTAGAAACAGAGTCTGAACCGCCTTTGGCGTCGTCGGCGCTAGTCTGACGCCATTGGCGCTGAGTAAAAATCCTCTAGTTTTTGGTTGTTCTGCGCTGCCGGTACTGACCTTGGCGCTGCCGGCGCTGAGTATTTCTTTACAAAGCCGACGCTGAGTATTTCTTTACAAACGTCATTTTGACTCCAAATTTCATTCTTTTTGCTGTAAGCCCTAAAAATCAACAACCTGCACGAAAACATCAAAGCACCTTCCATTAAAGTGCAATATCACCAAAAATAGGTATAAAATATCGGTCTAAAAATGCACACATTTTAAGTGTATCAAAACTAAACTCCTAAAAACTTAAACTATCATTTCTATGTATTTTCCATGGATTTTTCGCAAATTTTCACCATTAATAATGATTTTTAGTCAAATCCATAATGTGTTCAAAATACATGGTGAAAATAGAAAAAAATTTTACATAGAACTCTAGCTCTTACCTCAAGAAGATAAAATTTAATAAATTTAGCTTGAAACCACCAAGAAATCTTCACTTAAGATGATGCCCTAGCTCTCAAACTCGCAAAAATCAAATGTAGGAGATGAAGTTGGGGAAAAAATGGAAGTTTTCGGCCCAAAATTTCACTTTAAACCATTTACAAACCGGTTTAAGTGAACCGGAGCTTAAGTGTGAATGGTTCGACTCTTAGGCGCCAATCTTTCGGGTTAGCCAGCGCTTAAGTGTGGAGTTTTAACACTTAGGTGCCAGGGCACAAATTTTAAAATTTTCAATTTTAATTAAAATGCACTTCTAGCCTAAGTAAAGCACTCCTAAGTGGTCTTACAAATCTTTAATAACTATTTTCTTCCCTTTCAACTCTCCTCTTCCTCAAGGTTCACCAATCTTAACTAATTTGGTTAAACACAAAATAACATAAAATTTCACAGAAACCAACATTTTTATTAATTCAAAAATAATTACAAACATTTTTAATACATAATTTCTCAATCTAAAGAGTCTTCGATAAGATAGTTCCTAAACACAAACACTAAACAATGATAACATTAAAAAAACACAAAACAAACTTAACATTAATAAACAAACACTTAGCATAAACAAACACTAAACAAAGAACTTAATTCCACTCTCCATCCGGTGGAACAAATCCTAACCTATCATTAGTCTCTCCTTGGGCATTTGGAATATAAATCTGATAGAACGGACGGTGGTGAAGAACTCTGGTTGAGTTCTTTTCAATCATTTGTTTTTCAAATACATAGCCTTGTTCGCTTCTTCAACAAAACTGGTATGACTAAATTGCATCTTTAGTTTCCATCCAATATGCTCTAGATGTGTGTTAACTTCCATCACCTTTGCTTCTATTGAAGCCACGTCAACCCAATTTTAGTGATTTTCTTCCCTATCCCTTTGATACTAACGGCTAGGAAACCGTTGAATAACTCTTGCACACTTTGACCAATGTACTTTTTTTTCATAGCTTCCTCATTCCTTTTCAAATCACTCTCCTAAGATGACATCTTTCCAAGAACTCTCACTCTTCACTTAGAATTTAGGGTGAAAATTGAAGTGTGGTGAGACTTCTCCTCATAACCTTCTAATTATAAAGTTTTAGATCACACCTAAAACTACTAGAAACGTTCTCAGACCACTAACCCACCTTTAAACCAACCAAACCACATTTAAATCTTCTAAAAATGTAATTTAGTACGTTTAGTAAACTTTCGTGCTTAAGCGCCGAATGTTGGCTCTTAAGCGCCAGTGCTTAATTTACCTCAGGTCAACTTAACATCCAAAAACACATTCTAACATGTCTAAGTCATCTTTTAAGGTCTTAGAATCATTACTAAATCAATATATATTCAAAATACTATTAAGATGTTTTAAATCAAACGCAACAACATAACATTCAAAATAAACACATAGATAACTATAGGTTGCCTCCCACAACGCACTTGGTTAAACGTAGTCAGCCTGACGCAACCAGTGCTCATTCTGGTTGACCCAACAACCCAACAACATAAGATCATTCAATTTAAGTTGATCTCCTAAAAAGTAGGGTTTCAGCCTGTGACCATTCACTTTGAATATTTTCTCAATTTTAGGATCTTTGATATCTACAGCTCTATATGGATAAAATTTTATAAATGGGCCCATCCATCTGGACTGGACTTAAGTTTTCCTGGAAATAATCTTAACCTTGCATTATATAGTAAAATTTGCTGTCATGACTCAAAATTTTTAGTAAGAATCCTTCGATCATGCCACATCTTCATCTTTTCTTTATAAATCTTAGCACTTTCATAAGATTCATTCATTATCTTCTCAAACTCATTTAATTGCAATAGTCTTTTCTCATCAGCATCCATTAAATTGTAATTAAATTCTTTAATAGTCCAACATGCTTTATGCTCAAGTTCAACTGGTAAATGAAAAGCTTTCCCAAATATTAACCTGTATGGGTGCATTCCTATAGGAGTTCTATATGCAGTCCTATAAGCCCACAAAGCATAGTCAAGTTTGATTGACCAATCCATTTTTGTTGGATTCACAGATTTTTCCAATATTTTTTTAATTTCACGATTAGATAATTCAGCCAAACCACTTATTTGAGGATGATAAAAGTAGCAATTCGTGGTTGATATGATATTTTTTTTTAAATTTCTCCATCATTGCATTTATGAAATGAATTCCCCCGTCAATTATGATCACTCTCGGCATCCCAAATCTACAAAATATGTTTGTTCTTAAAAACTTTGCAACACTTTGAGCATCACATCAAGGTAAAGCAACAACTTCTATCCATTTG